TTAGGTTAGCCAGAATTCAGGAAACACCTGTCATCTGGCACTGCCACACTGAGCTTTACACCAGCTGTTCAGGAGACCTTGATTCATGGAAAGTTCATCCAACTTCTTATATCTATGGTTTAAAACCTTGGCCAACCATGGCACTGACTAATTACTTCACTCATAATGTGTCTGCTAGCATATAAAAAAACACCATACGGACATGTTAACAAGGTCGAAACCTTGATATTTACCAAAGGGGGTCTTAAATTTTCTGTCACAAGCTAAAAGTGTCTAACTAGCTCACCTAAGTGGAATACAGATGTTTTTAATGTTAATAATTACACCGGTGCTTTTCCTGTCTGCGGTGATAAGGTCCACTATGAGAAAGACCCGTATTTGGTCAAAGAACCTTTAAGTTGTCTTAAATGAGACATTTAGCATGACCCAGTTTTGTCAGCTGAGTCTCTGTCCTAACTTTGATCAACATGTACTTACAACCAGACCATACCGTACTGAGCCAGGGCTTCTCGTGACTTGCAAAAAAAAAAAGTTGGTAAAAACTTAGATGTGCTTCTGTAGGTCAGGCATAAAGTGCTGTGATGACAAGTCTCCGGTGCATTAGTGGCCTTGTCTGCTCCCATCTTGTCAGGCGCTACTGTCATTTTACCAGATTTGGGTCTTTCCTTTAATGCAGCAGCTCTTCATACTATACATCAGGTTACTGTATATCAGGGCTGTTCAGTCTGAAGTAATGGATCCTCTTCAAAAATAGGAAAAGACAAATTATGGTATATGCCATTCAAAGTATGCTAAATAAGTTATTAGCTGTCCATTCTAATGTGATGTAATGAACTATTCTGTATTGGTTATTAATTGATGATTCAAGGAGCTGATTCAGTTGCTTTGGTCTAATACAACTTTACATAAGAAAGCAGATTTCATTTAGGATGTATGTGTTTAAAACACTCAGTAAAAGTTTTGTTACCCTTCAGTATATTATTCTACCATTCTGTAGATAGATAAACTTGGTGTTAATTGATAAAGTAGAAACAGAGAAGTATGCACAATGTTCACTTCCCACATTCGGCCGATTTAATTATAGATCCATGCTTTACCTTCATTTTTCTAACTGTACTGTGAAGTGCTATTTTCTGATATATTTTCACAACATTAACAGTGTCTCCACATCTGTCAGTGTTGCTCAAATATTAGCAAACAGACATTTTTTGAGAGCTTCAGCTGCTGGTTTCCTCTTAATGGCTGTCCAAAATGCCACATTTTTTTTGTGTTTGCTATGTTGTCTAGACAGCACAGTAGCAGCCATGCTGACAAAAGATCAGTGACTAAAGCAACCGTCGCCTCAAAACAAAAAATTCTGTCATCATGTTCTTGCTCCTGTGTCTGTCAAAACTTCAGGTTGAAATGTTGTTACAGTTCCTGGAGCTCTGAGTTTGCTGTCTGCTCTACTGAAAATGGCAATAAATTACATCAAATGTCTTTCAAGATGTGTCTTAATGACTAACACAGATGATCACAGACCCAGATGCTGGTGTTTTATCCATAATAGGAGAGCAGGAATGGTATACTAGTGGTAGAGATATCAGTGCTTTGGTCCAGGCTGAAATATCTGACCAACTGTTGGATGGATTGCTGTGAAATTGTGTACAGATATTCATGGTCCCAAGAGGACGACTCTTCAGGACTTATTGAAGTGATCCTTTGACTTTACTTGCAGCTTTACCAGCAGGTCAAAGTTTCACTTACATGGTAACATATTGCAACAGCTCTAAATTCCATCCATCCATCCATTCTCTATACACCGCTTACTCCTCACTAGGGTCGCGGGGGGGCTGGAGCCTATCCCAGCCGACTTAGGGCGAAGGCAGGGGACACACTGGACAGGTCGCCAGTCTATCACAGGGCCAGCCCTAAACTGACTGGCACAAACTGATGATGAAACCTCACAAAGTGAAACTCGATTATTTTGATGACTTTTCTTGTAGAGCCACCAGGAGGTGGATGGGTTCCTATGAAATTTGGTGCACAAATGCACTAGATTAGTGGTTTAGAATCTATTTCCACCATCAAATCAAATACTTTGTTTGCCCAGAGCTTTGGTTTTATGACCAAATACCTCCAAAACTAATGATCTTCCCATCAATCTCAGTTGTAGTTTGTGGTCAGTGCTAATTAGCGTGAGATGTAATCAAAAGTTTCAGGGTCTGCATTCACAAGTTCACAAGTTCACAAGCCAGACTTGCACCAGATTTGCTGCCATCCAAATCAGTTTTTGCACCAAGTGCAGCGATTCACCGCTCCCAGCGCTCCTGCCACGCTAAAGTCCCATTCTGTAAGTACGTCAAGCACCATCTGCAATGCGAGCTTGTCCACTGTGTCAAAACAGCGCCCCTTCAACTTGAATTTCATTTTGAGGAAGACGAGGAATTGGGACAGATGGGAAACAGCGATTATGTTGTGACCTAGAAAACCTGTACATCATGGTTGTGCTGTGGGTGGGTGCACAACGTGGTTGGAGCTCCTAATTGCTGTTGTGCCACAGCTCAGGTCATCTGGGCAGAATGTTCTTCCTCAGATGCCACAGTAAAATTCCAGTAAAACTCGGTGTTGATAGTCTGACCCTGAGGAACTGGGTTCACAATGAGTATATTCTCGGTGTGCTCCTGACCTGACGTGCTATGACTGCGGACTTTTCCACGCCGAAGATGAGAAATCAGTCCACAGCTACGCATTTATGACCAGTGATCATCCTCATGGGGAGGAAATTCTATTTTGGGGGAAATTACATATTTTTTTCCATTCAGTCTTAAAATGAGAGGATGTTGAAATAACAAGAAGGATCGGCTCTTCCTTGGCTGCAGACTGACAGAATTTAATTTGATGTTTGAGATCCATGGTGAAATTGCAAATGCACACCTGCTACTGGTCACAAAAACCTGTATGAGACAAGTCCTGATGTTGATTGCGCAATGTCTCGTGGAATCCTAACTCGTGACAGTTACTCCTTGCATGCTTTTTGATCACGCCTTATAAAACATTAGACTTGGGTTCACATGATAAGAACTTGCTCAAAAGTGTTTGTCGCTGTTCCAAATTGCCACACTTGAAGGCAGAGTGAAAAATAGGTTATTACTGGGGGGTGGAAGGTACGCTAATTGTTTAAATACAAGGATGGCAGCACTCACTTGTGCACTTTCACACCACTCAGTCTCTTTGTAGTGTTGTACTCATTTGTTCACATGAAAAGTGAAACAGTGATGAAAAAAGTCAGAGCTGGAGAGAAAAGTTCAAACCCTGCTTACTGCCTCACCTCCGCACACTTGGCAGATCACTGTGTGAAGTGGGTGTGAATGTCAAGTTGTCAACTTTAGAAGATTGTAGGAAGCTGCTCCCCCAGTTTTTGACGATGGGAAGGTGTCGAGGGAGGGGAGGTCAGACGCTGTTAAGCCACTGTAGAGGAGTGTTGGAGTATTCTGGTGGCTTAAACCGGCAGCGTGAAACTTTTGTGTCCCCCTTCTGGCAGCAAGAGTAATTACATAAAAACTGTCAACACGTGCGTATGAAGAAATGCCTCCATCGCTATCTCTTTTAAATCCAAATGTTGAGTTTCTTTTTTATTTAGAGCATCAGACGTTGCTCCTGCTTATTCCACCACAGGCTTGGCTGTAATCATTGCTTCAGCCTCATCTGTCTTTGTCACTACGGTTGCTCCTGTTTTCACCTCTGGCAAAATAATCATTGCTGGATGACTTAAAAGCTCATCACCACTGATGTAGGAATGTCACTACACAAAGCCCATACAAAGCTTTGGTATATTGCACACCATAGATAGATTTACCTGCTGCTAATAGGCTCAATCAGCACTGCGTGGACTCTCTCGGCACGGGCTTGGATGTAACGGACCTTCATTTATATGTGAAAGAGCCACTCTCTAGCTTCAAGATTCTCATTTCTCTTTAAAAGCTGCAGTTGTGGCGACACACTTTAGTCCCAGCGGCTTGAAAAACACTGCACGTCAAATGGGTTCTCTGCAGGAATTTCCATGAGAGTACAAGTCTCAGCAGCACCATTGATGTTTTAGTCAACTTCATCTGACCCTGAGCCTAAGGTTTAAACATGAAAGGCTGTGTTAAAGATAACTGACAACTTTAGAGTTGATTAATTCTGCTGGAGTTTTGTTGACAATTTATGATGTGGACTCATTTTAAACCACTCAACAAGACTGCAGCCGTATCAGCCGTCATGTCCATAACGAGCACTTTCAGGACTATGTGGGTTTGGAACATACACAGTTTTGACATTTCTTGCCTTTTGTTTACTTTATGTTTTGATTTGCCTGGTAGGGGGGAGAGCAGTGCTGAGATACATTTGGTCAAATTCTGTGTTTTCATGTACTTGAATCAAGTCTGTATTTTTTGTGCTTTGGCATTGGAAGCCTACTCCCCCTCTCTTCCTCCATTTCTTTCGTGTAATAGGCTCATCTTCCCTCCTCTGTCCGCTCCCTCTATCTTTCATGAGTCTGAATAAAGCAGCTAATGGTGCATGGAAATGGTGGCGGCACAGTCACGTCTATAGACTTTTTCTGTTATGTGCTGCAATATGTAAGTGAAAATACACATTTGCAAGGATGAGAGGAACTCATTCTTTCACCCATCTCATTCATTTATTGTCAGGCACTGTTAAAGCTTAATGACCAATACGTGAACTGCAACAAAAAGGGTATTACGCAACAGTAGGCTCTTGGTGTGTTTTTCATTTTTGCTTTCTCTTTTTCTTTTTTTTTTTGATCTTTGATAAATTATAGATGCTAGATATGAGAATGTTTTAACAGACTTCTACTTCAATTAGTTTATCACAGGGGGGAATGCCAGTATGCTGGCTTAATGGATGTCTTTACAGTATTACATTTAATTGCTGATTTGTGAATCTTACAAACTTCTTGTGGTGATGATGATGATGATGATGATGATGATAATGATAATGTGTCTGCTTGTTCTCAGGTATATATCCGCATCCTGGACAATGAGTGGAATGTATACAGACGTTACACCGAGTTCAGAGAGCTCCACAACCACCTGAGAACCCAGTTTCCGCAGGTGGACACCTTCAACTTCCCACCCAAGAAAGCCATAGGAAACAAGGTGAGCTAACCGTAACCGTTCCGCGTTATGTATCTCAGGCCACGTTTACACATAGCCGGGTGTTTAGGAAAACAAATCTAAGTTTTAAAAAAAACGTTCACACGATTCACACATAAACATGTCGTTAAGAGCTGCTATGAGCATGCCAAACCTATAGGGGGCAGTGTAACGAGAAGCGTAAAGCCATGCTAGCCAATCAGAATCCTGGAAAAAACACAACAACCAATGGAATTACTTTGTGTTAGTTCAACAATAATGGTGTGAGGGTCGTTTGTTTGGACCGACAGAGAAGTGGAGCTACTCCTAAATGTGGTGTTAGAATACAAAACAAGTAAAATACTTGAAAACATTGACTGGGAAACATGTCAGTCCAAGTATATGGACATATACTGCTTTAACAGCATCCATTTCTATCACAGCAGCCAAACTGTAAACATGGGTCGCACACATATGACGCTGATGATGCATCCTATGACGTCAAACTCCGTCTCCTCCTGTCTACATGCAACCGTAAAGACGGGGTTTTTCCAAATCTCCACTTTGGCCAGAGTTTTCAGATATGATCGTTTTTGGTGACTAATAGCTTTGTTTACGTGTAAACCAAAGGCCAAAATGCATTGAAATGTCACCATTTTTGCTATATTTAAACGGCTCCTCAGACTCTCTCGGCTTACCTCAGTGGTGATGAGGTTTGTCGACCAGTTTGTAGTTACAAACACAATAAGCAAAAAGTGTATATTTTAGTTTCAGTTCTAAGCTGCACCCCTCCTTCTTCACTGTTGCTGTGCATGTCAAGCTTTCTGTTCTCATATGGCACATATGCAGTTTGTAGTGATAAAGTTGGCAGAGTTACCACCCACGACTCCAGGTAAATTTTGACACAGTGGCTCCTTGATTTCAGACAAAGAGAAAAAAAGAACTGATTTTATATTTTTATCTGCTGACCGCCAATTTGTTGGCTAAAATAGCAGCTGTCTCTGTCAGATTGTATCTGGTCATTAGACTAATGTTAGCTACATGGGTTAGTCGCTCAGTCTCTGGCAGATTTTTAAATGTTTCCACCTGAATTATTTTAAAACTCCTAATTATACATTCCCTGGTGTTGAAGCAAAAAGTATGATCCACACCAGGTGATGATCTTTTTCGAAATCATGGAAATAGGAAACAGTGCCAGGCTGTGGGGCTAATTGGTCCTAGACAAGTATGAGAATGTAAAATGTAACCTCTTCAACTGTTTCTGTGCTGGGTTAAGACAGTGGTTTGATTTATACTTAAGGACCCGTATATTTGAGGATTACAGATTAATATAGTTTACTGTTGAAAATAAAACTACTCTGGATGATGGATTTAGAGGTATCTGGAGTGTAAATGACAAATTCAATAAAAAGTAGGATAGAACATGTTTGCTACACAATTAAACTTGCAGACATCCGAGAGCACAATAAAAAATTACATTTGTCATTCACTTTGCACTGCTATTTCACATTTATTACAAACTGAAACGTATATATACGGTAATATTTGTTTAAAAATACAACTGAATTGAAATTAAGACAGATTCTGTCATAGGTCGGATTCATGAGACTCACCAAGAATAAATCCAAATTTTGAAACAACATTAACAGGAGCTGAAGTTTAGTTTGTTACTTCCAACTTCTTTGTAGGAGTCTTTCCTTTGAGTGTATTAAATACCTGCAGCATCAAACAGGATCTATGTCATTGCTCTAGTATGAGAGAGTTGTGCTCATTGACGCACATGCAACAACATGTAATAATAACAATAATTAAAATTTCTGATCAATCCTGTCACCAACATGGAGACAGGATCAATCAGGACCTGACATTATGTCACACTGTATGTTTTTCTTCCCCTCAGACAGATGAGCTGTCACAGTTTATATGCTGTTATATCTCATTCCATAGTGGATTTAAATGTAGTCTTTTGTTTAGTGGTGCATTATCATGCATTGTGCATCACTTGATGTACTGTCCAATATTGCATCTATGACAAGTATCGCATGTGTGCTGCGGCTCTCTCTGTCACCGTCATGACCGTGTATGTCAGAATGAGGAACATTAATGCAACGCTGACCTATGTCTGAATGGCAGAACGCTGTCACTTTAACAGATTGATGAAGCCATTAATGTTGCATATGCCATGTCTGGAAAGGGCTTAAGGTAACCTGCAACCCCATAAAATGATGTAGTTAAAGAATAATATGATTCCTGGCCTTGGAAGAAAAACCGGCTCATAGTATTAATGTAAACACACTAGTAAATGTGTTACCTGGACTTGCTAATATTATGCTATTTCTTACACTTTTCTCTTGAAATGCCAGGTGTCACTCTTGCTGCAGCCTCTTGTACACCAGTTTGACATGTAAAAGCATCCGCAGCTTGACAACCTTGCTGTGCCTTGGTACAATTACAGTGCTCAGTTGTGAATGAACAATCGGTGTCTGTGTCGGGTGAAGGTATAGTCACAAAGCCTTCCCTCAAACAGCCAGTGATTGTCGAGTGAACTCTTTTCACCTCATAAAAGACACTATTCTCACACAGCTATTATAAAAATTTTATATTGGCCTGTAAAAATTGATGGCAGCCTTTAAAGATGGTAAACTCTGTAGGAAAATAAAGTGATAGTCAGATGGGGTTCACTGCCACCACATTATCTTATCAGCCACCCTCTTTTACGATATTTTTCTGTTTTGTTAACACACACCCAGGCTCACATTTCAGCGGCAAGTCGCTGCCCTGGGTCTCCATGACGAGTATTTCTCTCTGGCTGGTGAGCCTCGGCCCCTCTCCTCTCACCCAGCTCCTCTTCCTTTTCATCCTGTTCTCCTCTGTATCCCTCCAAACCTCTGGGAGATAATTTGGTTCTGACCCCGATTCTTTGGCTGGTTGGATTTGACACTGCGACGGCCAAAAACCTCTGGTCTGACTTCCTACCTTCAAAGACACTGCGCTGTCACGGTCAGAAAGCGGACTGAACGCTGTGATGCAGGCGCTGCAAATGTGAGGAGAGGTGGAGTGTGTGTGTGTGTGTGTGTGTGTCTGTCTGCATGACCATGTGAAAGTGCAAGTGTCTATCAAAGGGCCCAGACAGTTGGTGTCGTCGGGTTCTCGGAAGCTCTCTGAAAGCACATTACCCTGCAGGTTCGTGTGAATCATTGGTTTTCACCGTCTCCGGAAAGTCGCCCATCGCTGCAGCCCTTGTCTTTGTTGCTCTCTGACCACATTTTAAAGCGGGGACACCACATGCTGTTGGACAGAAAAACACACACTATACCCTTGCTTTAAAAATAAAGTCTTAACGGATACATTACAGGAACTTAACACCAACTCTTTTTTGTTCTGACCTCCAGCGGGTCACTCCCTCATCATGCTGTTGTAATGTGCAGGGACTCTTATTTGTCAAGTCCAAAAAACACAGATCTCACACCGTAGAGAAGAGACGTACTCAACCAGATCCAGCTTGTCGCTCACTTCCACCTGCAGTCCCTGAGCAAGCACACAAAACAAGAATACAACACAGCACTACAATACACTGTGGTGTCACCGTTGTGTGCAGTCAGAGGTGTAAATTTATCATTCTGAATAACAGACAAGTAATAGAAGTCATCCGTCACCTGCCGTTTCCTCTCTGTTGTCTTATTTAAATTGCATTCATTACTCTCCTGCCATAGCATGTCGCACTCCTTTTTGGAGGTTTCTTTTTTTTTTATACCGTTTCTTTCTTTGTTGAGTTTTCATGTAATTTTTCTCACAACCCAAATCACCTTTACCTCTGTTTGCCATCAGCGTTTTCCCTTTATATTTATTTTCGGCGCAGTCATTTTTATAAGCCTCTGGAGGTCTCTTTCCTGCACCCACACTGTTTGTATTTGCACTCTCTTTTAACAGTTTCTATTACTTCACAATATACTGCGCTCATACCGAGGGTGTTTGACTCGGGTTGCGCTGTGGAGATATCCTGTTTCATCTGCGGCATGTGCATTTCGGTTTAAAGTCTCTCTCACTTGCTTGTTTCACCTTTAACCAACCGGGGTCCCGTTTCAGAAAAGCGATTTCCAAGTTCTGCTTGCATGTGGAATACAAATGACGGCAGCATTATGTTTCATAAAAGACTGTCACTCACAAATAGCAGATAAATACGTGAGTCGTACAGGACGCTTGCACACGTGTGCTGGGATGCGGCTGAGGATTTTATCTCATGTTACACACAGCAGCTCGCCTTCTGCAAATGTGGTGACGGTCAGCTAAAAATCTTTGACCTTGCGCAGACGTTATACTTGTAGTTGTCTCATATCAGCTGCTGGGCTGTATGTGATGTTCCACTCTGTCTTTATTAATTATGTATAGTTTGATATAGATTGTCTTTTGATGTAAAAATATATCAAGTCAGACTCCTTTTGTCCATTGAAGTGTTTGGATGTAGTCAGTCAGTCCCTCCATATGTAAAGGTTTGGGGCACAGCTGGGGCAATATTGGCCTTTATCGCATTCATTAAATGAGTTTTCTGTACATTTCATGTCTGCACACTCTGTTTAACCTGAAGATACCACACATCTGCAAAATGAAATATTACAAAGTTATATTTGAATGGAAACATTTCTTTATTAGAAAAGTTAACATGAACTAGACCTTGCTGACAGAATGATAGCAGTATGGACGAATGACAAAATAGTTTAAATGCTTGATCAGATGCAAACTGCCATGAGGCACATAACGAAAACACGAAATTCGGTTGCATGAACAAACCCTGAGTGTGCTGCCTTCTTTGCTCATAAACATCCCTTGATAATGGAGCCCCTTTGCCCTCCATAGCTTTCATGCAGGTCTCCTGAGGCGCACTAATCTGTGGCCACCTGGGTCTCTTGTTGCCCTCCTTCACGCATGCTCACCTCTCTGGTGGAGGCTGCTGCCCTTTGATGGGCTACATGGTCAAAAAAAAAATGCATGTATCACAGTTAAATTAGTCCTTTACCCTATTTTTT